GCAAGCAAAACCAGCACACTGGAAGCAGTCATTCACTCTATGGGCTGCAGGTATGGGAGCTGAGACCCCAGACCAAGGCAGCTTCCTCCACAGAGGCAGCACTGCTGAGCTGCAGGCAGGGTACCGGGTCTGGTGGCACAGCAGTCCCCAGGGCAGGAGGACCTCGGGCAGTTTCTGTGCAGCCCCAGAAAACACCTAGTGATGGCTGCAGCAAAGTCCCCGGCCTCCTGCAGAGACGCAGCAGCACGGCCAGCCAGGGCACTTGGCCAGCTGGAGCCTCAGCTTTGCCTTGCTGGGGACCCAGCTCATCCCAGGGTGGGCTGGCGGGATGAAGGAATGGGTGTCAGCTCCCACCCTACAGGATCCTTTCCAAGGATGCTGCCAGGTAAACATCCTCCTGCCCCGGCTCAGGCACAGGGAGATCTCAGCACGTGGTGGTAGGTCAGGAAGTCTGGAAGTCCAGAGGTGAAGCAATGTGGATGTCAGGCTTTTGGGTGATAAAGGATCTCCCATGATTCCTCTTCCCTGAGAAAAGCCCTTTTCAGGCTTGCTCTGGTATGGAGACAGTGATGAGCACAGCATCCCAGAGTCCTCGTGGGACCCTCCTGCCCCCCTGCCCCACACCTTGGCACAGGCAGTTTCTGGGGAAAGAAGCCACCACAGTGCTCATTCCCAGTGGAGAAGTTACAAAGAGACAAGGGATCCTTAGCCTGAATTTGAAAACTGTGCAACCATTCGGAAGAACTTCAGCCAGGGCTGAAAATTGGGCCAGAAAGCTCCCAGGAGGTGTGTGACACAGGGAAGGTCACCTGGCCAGCTGTGGGGAGCTGAACTTGGGGAGGTTTATTTAGATTAATGCTCCCAGCAGCCCAGCAGCCCAGCAGCCCCAGGCTACAGCCTTGAAGATGATCAGACAGCCTGAGCAAAGCCAGCCGTGCGGTGGTGAGCATCCCCCATGGCTGCCCATGCCTGGTGAGGGACAGTTACCCCCGTCAGACCTGCATCAGTCGTGTCTGGCTGCAGCGGAGCTGCCAAAACCCCCAACCAAGCTGGTGTCAGCTCAGCACCAGGACATACTGGGGAGCATCCACAAACGGCCTAGCCTTGCAGGAGATACTAGACGTCTCTAATGCCTGGTTTGGGGGCCGGACGGACTCTGCCTTGGCCCCACAGCCCCCCTGGCTGTGCAGTGTCCCCACCAAGCAAGCCTGAGCAGATCCCACCATCTCAACCTGCTACCACCCTCTTGCCCACAGGGTGAACCACTGGATCACCTAGCAGCAATCAGGACTTGATGCTCATGGCCGTTCCCGTCCCACCACCAAGGATCTGTCAGCCCCTCTTGCCAAGACCCCAGCTCCTCATTGTCCCACCAGCTCCCTCCCTGCAGCTCCAAGCCCCTGTGGGGAGCGTGGCCTGCCCCGGCAGTGGGAGCAGGCTGCCAGCCGGGAGGTCACGCCTGGCCAGCGGCGCTCACGGCGAGCCCGCCATCCGGCTCAGCTGAAGCACATTTTGTTCGGCGCTTCCTGCATCCTGCCCCATCCCCGCACCGGGGGGGTGGGTCAGCCCGGGGTCAGGCTGCTAATTGAACCCCGGGAGACGAGGCGGCTGCCAGCCCACCATGCCAGGCTGCAACCCAATGCAGGGGAAGCAGTGGGTCCCGCTGCAGAGAGGGATGGGTTGTCACACACGCCACAGCCGAGCCCAGCACCCCCCAAGGTGCTGGGGTGCCCCTGTGGCTGGACAGGACATGTCTCTGGCACCAGCACAGAGGTTGCAGCTCCTGCTGCTGGCTCTGCTGCAGCTCACCCTGGACTCAGGGCTGCGGACACTGTCCTCTCAAAGCCAGACCAGCTCCACCATGCAAACCACCACTGGCATCGCCGCTGTGCCACTGCACCAGCCCCACACCAGGGTTCATCCTCTCCTGGCATCGCTTGCTGGCACCTTTCCACAGAGAGCCACCAAGGCCAAGTGGGAATTCGGACATGGCTTTGCCTTCTGGGCCAGAGGCAGGTTTTGTTGCCCTTCTGCTAACTCTGTTTAATGAGGATGTTAATTGAGACCGACCCCCGGCCAGCCCTTGTGGTAGTACCCAAGGTGCTGCCTCAGCACCATGCCGAGCTCGTTATCATCACCCCATGCTCCCCATGCCACGCGGCTGCCAGTGGCCACCCTGGCACCCAGTCCTGGGGACAGCAGCCCTGAGTGCCACTTCCCCACCAGCAGCTGGGCAGGCAGTGGGGACAGCCCAGCACAGGGGCTGTGCCTGACAGTGGCACTGAGGCTGAGCATGGTGGAAAGGATGGTCTTCACCCTCAGGGGATGCCTGAGGTCCTGCCTGCCTGGGCAAGAGCTCGTTAGGCAAGGCTTGTTGGTGAGCACAGGACCATCCACCTACACGCTCACCCGGGAGGCGCGGATGCAGTCCAGCATGGGGGTGAGCTAGAAGTGGGGTGCAGGGGCCACTCCACAGCCCCAGCATCCCATCTCCCACCTCCCCATCTCCCCACCACCCCACACCCCATCATCCCATCCCACTCACAGGAAGGGTTTGAATCCCACCCTCTCTCTGGCTCCTTCCTTTCTCCCAAACCCATTTTCCTTCATCCTTCATGGGGAAGCCCCTGCTCTCCTCGTCCCCTGCTAATGTCCACATCCAACTTGCAAGCACCACATGCCCTGCTATCACTCCCCTCCCCTGCCAGTGCCCACCTCCCCTGCTAACGCCCACAGTCCCTGCAAAAGCCCATGGTCCCTGTAGATGCCCATGGACCCTGTCAGTGAGGAGCATGCAGGCACTGGCAGCGCTGGGCTCGGTGTGGCAGTGAAGGCAGGGGCTCTGGTAGGGTATCGCTCCCAAACCACCTGCCTGTACAGTAGCAGCACCATGCACAGTGGCTGCACCATCCTCCTCCATGCTCCCTGGCCACAGGGGCTGGGTGCTGCCCTGTGCCTCCCCTGAGGGGCTCCTTGGAGCACTGGGGCTGCCACGATGCACTGTGCCGGTATGATGCCCGTGGGGGTGATGGGGGACACATGCCCCGTTGCCTTATGCTTTCCCGGGGGAAAGCAGAGTTGGGGACGCTGCTGTCCCTGGGGGGAGCAGGCAGCAGAGAAGCAGCGTGGCACAGTGGGGTTTGCCACATCTGCAACTGCCCCAATGGCACTTCACCAAGCACTAGTCTGTGCCAACGGCAGCTCCCCGTGCTGCACACACAGCACCGAGCACAGCTCTGTTGTGGGTGACACAGCCAGACCAGGGGAAACAGCCCTGTGGGGCAGCCCCAGCAGTTCCCAGCCCTGGCTGCTGGTGGAGTGAAGCAGCACCACCACCCCCATGCAACTCCCACAGAGGGTCAGGGATGGAAAGGCCTGGGGAGGGGCTGTGCTTGCCATTAGCCAGGATGATCTGCCATTACCCAGGTAGGGGCAGACTCCCCCCCAGGTGCCAGGACTGTGCATTCACACAGCCCCAACCGTTAGCCACAGTCGTAAAAAGACAGCCAGACTCCTTTTACCCATAACACCCCCGCCATCATATTCCTGCTAAGTGATTTCGGCTGTTGCCCGAGCAGCACAAACTGAGAACCAACTCCCTGCAGCCCCTTGCCAGTGCCACCCCAGTCGGTGCATGAGCTGGGCATGCCACGCACTGGAGCACTCCTGGGGCGCAAGCAGGGTCCCTTGCCACACTGGCCCAGCTCCATCACCATCACTGTCAGCTCCAGTCATCCCTGCAGGCACCCCTGGGCTCAGCCACCAGCGTCACCTGGGTGCCCAGGGCTGAGCTCCAAACACCCTGGGAGCTGCTAGGGCAGCTGGGTGGAAACGTACTGGCGAGGGCATTTAGGGCAGTTTTCCCCAAGGACTTTCTGCTCGGTCCCGGCAGGTCGCTGCCCAGCAGGGATGGAGCCCACACACTGCCGTCAACCCCCCCTCCTCCGGGTGCACATCTGGTCAACAGATGCTGGCCCAAACGTTGGCTGGAGCCAGGGACAAAGGCTCTGGCTACCTCCTCCCGGCAAGGCAGAGCTGGCACTGCTGCATCCAGGCAGATCTGCCTCTTCCCACAGGCTGGGATTGATGCTGTCTGCGCGGCCAGGAGACCCTCTTGGGGGCTGGAAGGGGGCATACAGCCCACCTGCCAGCCGTGATGCTGAGAACAGTGCCCCAAGCGCCGGCAGTGACCACGCCGGCTTGTCCACCACAGCCAAGCCCATCCAACGTCCCCTCCATCCCGGATGGCTCCCACTTGACCCAGTGCCGGCATGAGGCCAGCTTGGAAAACCCTCCATCAGCTGTGCCAAACGCTCAGCCCCCTGAGCTCACTCACCTTTGAGACCTCATTTTGGACTTGTCCCAACAAAACGAGCCTCACCATGGTTCTCCATGGCACGGTAATGATACTGTTTTACCAAAACAAATGGCGCTGCACTACCCAGTAAAATTCCAGGCAGGTCAAGCCAGGAAACATCCTCAGGAGGAGCCGGGGCTGGCTTAGCCCAGCCACTGCTGGGATTAACTGTGCAGATTTAGCAGCCGGGGCGACTCCAGCTCGGCTCATCGCACCGTCCTGCCTGGGCCGGCCGCCGCCATGCTCCGGCATCGTCACCAGTGAGGTCTCCCCGGCAGCCGGCAGGACTGCGTCTGGCAGCCGGCAGCAGTGGCACGGGAGCGGGGACCCCG